AGGCCGCCAAGATCACCCAAGACAGCCTAAAATCGCCCTGAGGATCACAAAACTGCCCAAGACAGGGCCCCAAGAGAACCCCACGACGGCCAAGCGAGGCCCCCGAAGACGGCCTCCGAATGCGCCAGATGGCCCAAGAGAGCCATAAGACGACGGCCCAAGTGAGCCCAGGGCGACCCCGAAGAAGGCCCAACAAGGCCTCGCAAGGGTTTCAGGACAGCCCCAAGACGACCCCAGATGGCACTTCCGCAGTGCTCTCCCGCTGGCCTCCCCAACCACTGGGGGAACCCGCAGTCCAGTGGCGTGGCTGGATTTCGGGCCAACACTTTACCACACAGCGGCCTCCGAAAGGCAGGGGGCGGCGGAGGCTCGCCGGAGGCATCTTCTACAAGAGCCTACTAGCGCAAGCACTGTTCAGGGAATGTACACACAACGACCAGACGTGCCTTCAGGCGCTAAGGACACTGAGCGGGACGGGCACAGCTTTCGGCTTGCAGTGGCCTCGCGCCCATCTTTCTCCCCGTCCTCCTGCTCGTCCTCCTCCTTGTCATCGCCTCCCTCTTCCTCCTCCCCCTGCTCCTGCCCCTCACCCTCTTCCTCCTCCTCCTCCCCCTCCTCCTCCTCCTCCTCCTCCTCCTCCTCCTCCTCCTCGTATGTACTCGTAACACCTGCTCGCCCACGACGAGCCTCCGCTCCCTCGTCCGCCCCACGCCCCCGTCCCCGACCCCCAGACCTCGGCACTGCCCTCCCTGGCACACCCGGCGTGTCTCGAGTGGCAAACGTGCTAGCGCTCTGCGCCGGCTTGCGCCGCTGCACCTCGGCAGGGGGCGCTCACGCGGGACCCACGCCAACGAGGCGAGGCCTCCGCAGCGAGTGCCGCCCAAAAGGGCGATCCTCTGCCGGACGCGCTCCACGCGCCTGGCCCACCTCCCCCTCCCTCGCGAACCCAGGGCAGGGAGCCCGATTGAGCCGAGCTCCCCGAGACATCTAGGTCCCCATGTGCCCTTCCAAGCCAAGGCTTTCGAGTCAGCCGACAGTTGCAAACTTCTTTCATGTATACTGGCAGATAAACCTCGCGTTGCCTTTGTACTCTATGTGTCTGCACAGCGTGAGTCCTGCAGTTACCTTCTTGTGCAAGCAATTCATGAATCGATGTACATGCATGTGATATTGAAGTATGACCAAAGTATCCCAATGACAACTGGGAGCTGATGTTTTTGATGATGCAATCCCGTTTGCACATTCTGAAGTCCACTGTCAGTTCCAGAAGTCCGCATAAAGGCTTCGCATGATTTCAACAATAAGTCCGCATTCAATTACCAGCATGCCTGCCGCAATTCTACTAACATCACACGGTCATAGAATTACGATTGATTTCCTCTGGATCGACATCTGTCTGCCCCATTCCAATCGGAATATCATTGAAGTAGTTCATCCGTACTGGAATTATGTTGGAATCCAACTTAAGATGCTGTTGACATCCGATTAGAACTCACATGGAATGGCATCGGAATATTATGGATCGGGGGTCTGCTCCATTCCTATTAAAGCCTCCTTGGGATCGCAGGAATACGATTGAGATCGCCTGGATGCAGGATTTGCTGAGCTGGTGGATGCTGGGGGGCGATGCGTGGAGGTGGAAGTGGGAAGTCGGATGCTGGAGGCTGGAAGTCGATAGGTGGAGGTGGACGTGGGAGGTCGGATGCTGGAGTCTGCAGGTCGGAGTGTCGAGCAAGTGGACGTAGGGGTCGATGTTCAAATGTCGAAGGTCCCTAGAACATGTTTGGACCGCGACGTCGCGATCTGCGTAAGGGGTGCGTGCAATTCTCACAATTTTGAAGATGTCCCAAGCGGAACTGCCAGACACTCACACTCGGAGCTTCAACAATAACCGCCTCTGAGCTCTAGTCCCTCGGAGAGGTGCGTATGATGATATACACATACACATACACACATATGCACGCATGTGTACTGATCTGAACATATTCATACATACTCATTGATACATACATACATAGATCCATACACTCATACACCAGACTGCATTTGCGCTTCGCGCCATGCACCTTGGTGCTTGAAGTTTGGTCTTCAGTCGGAATGGCAGGCAGATCAAACAGACACCTTAGCGATAATTCCTTGTCAACCTTTCTGGCATCGCCATTCCAATCATGTTTTTCGGCATCCTTCCTCCATGTTAGTTCATCATTCTCGCCCTACCGTGCGAATTCTCCCCCATCATCCTCAGCTCATTTTGCGGAGGCTCCTCCTTGGAGAGCCTCTGGGGGCCTCACGGAAGTTTTTCAAACTTTCCGTAAGGCCTTCTGGAGGCCTCCTGGGCGTCTTCTGGGGGCCTCTGGGGGCTTCTTCGGGTCGCCCTGCCTCCGACCGCGGTCTCCCTGAAGGACCGGGTCACGATTTGCAATGCTTCGGAGGGTGTCTTGGGGCCATCTTGGGCTGTCATGGGGCTGTCTTAGGCCATCTTGGAACCCTGTTGTGCCGTCTTGGGGCTCTCTTGGACTGCCTGGAAGCCCTTTCGGATGGTTTTGCTGTGATTTGGAGCCCGAAGAACAGCACAGTCCCCCAATCATGCAAACATCACCAGGACACTGTTTTCTGCGTTTGGGAAGCCTCCTGGGGGTTTTCTTTGGGTCGTCTTCGGGCGTCTGGTGGGTGTCTGGGGCCTCTTGGGGCCCTCGGGGGGGCCGCTCGGCCGCCGACCGATTTTGGCCCGCTGCCTCGGCCCGTTGCAAGGGCTTCCAGGAGCACTGAAGAACGCCTGGGGGGCCTCCCGCAGGGGCCCGGGATTCGGAGGGGTCCGATTTCGGGGGGGTGGGTCCTTGGTGATAGGTACATATGCATACATACATACATACATACAAGCATACACACATACATACATACATACATACATACATACATACATACAAACAAACAAACAAACAAACAAACAAACAAACAAACAAACATACATACACACATACATACATACATACATACATACGTACATACATTCATGCAAACATACATACATACGTGTATGCAAGTCTTTGTGTCTACACATGTATGCACATACATATACACACATATATATAATAGCAAACCATACAGACAGCACATGTGCGGTTGCACATACGTATTTTTTGATATGCATATATATATATATATATATATATCGTGTGCGCCTACTCTATTTACATGCGATTATGATGTGGTATACGTGCGGACCTATATCATTCCATTGCAATTCTACACCCAGCCTTCAGTCTACACTGATGCGTGTTCACCTCACCTTCTACGCGTCATTAACAATTTGCTCGCGCCCCCTATTCGCACGTGTCCGCTTATGGCTGTAGTCGCCATCTTACTGGTACGATGCGTAAGGCTGGTTTCGAACTTAACGTTTTGGCATGCATAGGTGTGACACTTCCAACGGCATGCAACCCTGGTCGTGCACTGCACGGAGTTAGACTATGTCTACGCATTGGTGTGCGTGTACTGTTTATAGGCATCCAATACTGCACCTACACATGCTCATGTTCATGCGTGTGTCCGTATGTTCTATATATACGTATATCTGAACATACATACATATATATAGATATAGATATTCCTGCGGCCGAGGAGCTGATACTAAGACAAGCCGTTCGCTCCAGACCCATGTCTGCGGGCCCGCTGCCGAAGATTACCCTTGGGGCCACTGTGATCCAGGCTCGGCGCTGGCTGCAGTCCAGCTGGCGTCCTCGAACATCCCGACTCCATATAGATGTTTGGTAGCTCGGGTAATCTCGATTGTTTCAGCAGTTCGCTCGCACTCTGGCAACGCCTCCCTGCTCCTCCTACTCCTATACCGCCTCCTGCTCCTCCTGCTCCTCCTCCTCCTCCTCCTCCTCATCATCATCATCATCAGCCAGCCCGTCGCCTTATGAATAACTCCTCGCTGTCGCACCCCCGAACGTGTCGGTAGGGCGGGCTGGGTGTTCCGCCTGAGACTTCTCCACCACTTATGATCCTCAAGCCTGAAGAGTTTGCAGCACTCTCACGGATGGAGGGCGGGTCGTTTTCAATATGTCGCTCTCGCCTCAGCGCCACGCATAGTCGTCTTACACGTGTGCAACAGCTTCACGGATGGAGGGCGGATCGTTTTCAAACTGTGGCTCTTACCTTAGCGCCGCGCACAAGCGTCTGAAAAGCTTGCAATAATTCCACGGGCGGATGGCAAGTCCTTTTCAAAAGGTGGCTCTCGCCTGAACGCCGCGCTCATTCGTCTTAACAGTTTGCAGCACTTTCACGGATGGAGGGCGGGTCGTTTTCAAAATGCTGTTCCCGCCTGGTCGCCACGCACTCGCACATTCGCTCCAAAAGTCTGCAACAATTTCAAGGACTCGAGCGGTTGAAGTCCCAGGAATGGCGTCCTGACGTGATTTCGGATTGTCATGAAGCAGCGGTCAAATGTATTCGTGGTGCTGAAATCCCAGGTTCGTCGTTCTGGCACGAGTCTAGTATTGTCAGGACGCAGCAATCACGTCGATCCACTGCTCCAAAATTCCAAGATTTGTGTTTTGGCACGGTTGGGGATTATCACAAGGTTGCCTTCTAACGGGCCACATACCGCAATGTAGATCAAGTCTTGCAGGGGCCTATAAAGATGGAACTTGGAGGGAGGCTTTATTGCAACATCGCTGATTCATCTTGGGTTTACAATGGTCCTCCTCCTCCTCCTCCTCTTCTCCCCTCTCCCCCGCGCGCGCGATGGGCGGGGGAGGAGAGAGGAAGGACGGAATAGGAGCACTAGGGGTACAAGAGGAGGAGTGGAAGGAGGGAAGGGGAGAGCGGGGGAAGAGGGGGAGAGGAAGGACGAAATTCCTCCTCCTCCTCCTCCTCCTCCTCCTCACCCTCCTCCTCCTCCTCCTCCTCCTCCTCCTCCTGCTCTTGCGTTCTCCCTGACAGGCACAGGCGGAAGGTCGCCAGCCAGCATTAGGCTGAAACGCTGGCCCTCGGGCTCAAGCGGCCAACCATGTCTGGTTGGACCCGGAGTTGGGTGGGCTGGCGTCCGAGTAGCAGTTCGGCATGACCTGGGCGGGCATTCCTCCACCCCCTTCCCTCCCTTCTTCATCTGGCTTCCCTCCTCCCTCCTGCTCCTTCATCGTGATCCCCCTTCCCTCTCTCATCCTGCTTCCCCCCCCCTCGCCTTGCTTCCCCCCTCATTCATCTTTCTCCCCCCCTGCCCCCGCTGTCTATCTGCGAGCACTTTGCTTGCACGGAGCACGGGTTCGCCGCAAGCCCCCGTCCGACAACGACCCTCATCTTGCTCCTCCTTCTCCTCCAACTCCTCCCTCCATTCCCCCTCTTTTCGTGGTCCCCCTCCTCCTCCAACTCACCCTTTCCTTGTCCTCCTCCTTATCCTTCTCCTTCTCATCAGAATCATCATCATCGTCGGCATCATCATCATCACCATCATCATCATCCCCATCATCATTATCATCATCACCACCACCATCATCATCGTCATCATCGTCATCATCGTCATCGTCATCATCATCGTCATCATCAACGTCATCGCCATCGTCATCATCATAGTCATCGTCATCGTCACCGTCATCAGCATCGTCATCGTCACCATCGTCATCATCATCACCATCACCATCATCATCACCACCGTCATCATAATGATAATCAGCATCATCATCATCAGCACCATCATCACCATCACCATCACCATCATCATCACCACCATCATCAATATCACCATCACCACCGCCACCACAAAATCAAAACGCAAGACGTCCCTCTCCTCCTTCATCCCTCGCGTCCTCCTCTCTTTCCTCTGTTCTCTTCCTCCTCCTCCTCCTCCTCCTCCTCCTCCTCCTCTAGCGCCAGCTTGGGTCGAGACTCTGCTCGCCCCACCGAGCCCGCACCACTGAGCCCATCTCGCCCCGCCTCTTCCCCCCCTCTGGTTTCTCCTCGGAGGCTGCGGCGGGCGATCTCGGCAGCTGAGGGCCAAGCGTCGCGGCGCCGCCGGCCCGATCGCACTGCTGCCGAGCGCCGAGCTCGGCAGACTTTTAGTCCGGCGGCGGCGAGGCGGAGGCGATCCGCACCAGCGCCAGGCCAAGCGGGGGCACCGATAGGCAAAGCCGAGCTCAGCACACGCGCGCGGAAGGTTCTGGGCGCGCGGCCGTGCTGCTCCCGCACGCCCTCTGCGAGATGGAACGGCGCAGGGTCCAGGATTCTGACTCCGCCAGGTGTTGGCTGGCGAGCCTGCCGGTGCGGCCGTTGATGCCCGTCCTGAAGCCTCTCCACTCCGCTGCTGCAGACGCGACGCCCCTGCCCACCGCATGCATGCTTGGCAGAACGAGTTCTGAGGAGCATGGCTGAGCAGACGCAGCTGGGAGACGGCGTCTTCCGTGAGGCGTTCCTCGCCGCTTATTTCCACTTCGGCATCATCTGAATCGCACGGGGGATGGCCGCCCTCCTCGACCACAACGGCTCCGCGCCCGACACCACCATCCCTAGCCGGAGCAGCTCCCTCGCTGCTCCCGGGGGCCATACCCCCAATGAGCCAGGCATCCCCACCGGCCGAGCCACCAGTGGACACTGCGTCCCCCGTGGCCGCGCCACCAGTAGACGGTGACAGGACGGTCGCAACCTCAGGCGACCTCATGACCTACACCTGGTGCTTGGCCGCCTTCGGCGGATAGTAGAACTGGATGACCGCGTCGACGGGGCCCTTTAACGCATGGGGGCCTCGACGCACTGCAAGATCCCATGCCCGGCGATGAGGCGAGAGCCCCATTTTGAAAAGGAACCGCCCTCTATCCATGAAGGGACTGCGAACCTTTGAAATTACTGTGCGCGGCGCTAGGGCGAGAGCGTCAGTTTGACACCCGCCCCCATCCATGAAACTGTTGCGAGTTTCAATCTTCAGGATCGAATGTGGCCCTACCGACACGCGGGTGGGTGCGACAGGGAGTTGTTCGCAATGAAAAAAAAGGAGCGAGGAGGACGGGGAGGGAGGAGCGAGGAGGGAGGGTTTGGGATGGCAGATCGCGCCCGAACTTGAGGCCAGGGCCATGTAGTACATCGCCGCGGGCGACGCGGCGGGGGCCATCGCCGCCTCCTTCAGATGAGGGGCGCGAGAAGCAGGAGCATTCATTCCACAATCCAAGCGCCCCATCGATCATCACATCCAACATCAACCTTCTGAAAAATACTATGCCAAAGCGCTGGCGGAGAGGTCAGAGCATGTAAGACCAAACCGTATGTATGCCACCGTATGTATGCCCATTCGGAACAGGACGCCAACACATCAAGCGATCAAGGTCGATCGAGCCAGCAAACCTCGCCGATCCCCCCCCCCCCCTCCCTCCCTCCCAAGAATTGCCGAAAACGAGTGGTGGCACAACCTGGCATGAGGATTGGAACGCGTTTCCGGTCTTCCCGGAAGGCACTCGCACGCGGCCCCGCTCTCCGACGATCTGGCGAGGGGTAAGACCCCAGGAGCTCAAATTTGACGACCCTTGCTCGTGTCGAGCGGCCCCCTGAGATCAAGAACACGAAACGAGGGCCCCCATAGGGAGGGGGCTCCCGCCTGAGACTTCCTCGCGATTCATTCACAGACAAGGCCCCCGCCTGAGACCTGAGACTTTCTCCAGATTCAAGCCTCAGGGGCCCAAAGGCAACGACGGTTATGACCCCCTGGAGAAACACACATGAGGCGTGGGCCCCGTAGGGAGGGGGCTCCCGCCTGAGACTTCCTCGCAATTCATTCACATACAGGGCTCCTGCCTGAAGCTTCCTCAATATTCAAGACTACGGCGCCCTGATGATGGTGGTGATGTTGATGAGTGAGCGACTGAGTGGGTGAGTGAGTGAGTGAGTGAGTTAGTGAGCGAGTGAATAGCGATGATGATAATAATGGTGATGATGGTGGTGAAGATGAAGATGATTTTGCTGATGATGATGGTGATGACGATGATGATGGTGATTGCGTGAGTGGGGGATAAGGGAGGGGAGGGGTGAGGAGCGCACTGCGTGGGGGCACCCAGATAATACAGAAAACTCTCTGGACGCGGGGAACTGTTTTTTGTTGGCGGGTACCGAAAATACTTCAAGATCGATGCTTCCCGCCGATTTTTCACGCGCCAGACGCGAACAAACTAAATCGTTGAGAGGAATCACCACTTCGAGCGAAGCACGTTCCATGTGTGCGCGTGCTTGTTTACACACTGAACTTGCCACCAACGCCCGGTCGTGAAGTGGGACCGCTGGCGAATTTGCACGCTGAGCCCGCCCCCGCCCCGTCTTGGAGTGGCTTCGCCGGGCAGCGGAAGGTGCTCCCCGCATGCGCGAACGTGCGCGCCGAGCGCGCCCCCGCCCAGTCGCTGAGCGCGCGCATCGGACAGCGGCCGGGCTCTCCCGCGCATGCATTCACTCAGCGAGCGCGCCCCCGCCCAGTACCTTCGGGGGATGCGTCCGAGAGTGGTGCGTGCGTCCTGGGCCCGATGGCGCCCAGAACGCACCCGCCCCCTTCGGACGGCGAGCGAGGACGAAGACGAGGACGGGGAAGCGACGACGACGACGAGGACGACAGCAGCCTAGTTCAACCAAACATGCTCCAGCACGATCTAACGCAGCACAGCCCAAGATGGAGAAGACAACGGAACACCAACGGAAGCCAGCGCAATATCAACGAACGGCCAGGAAGAGGAGAAATCGAACCAGAGCGTCTGAACACACGCGCAACCTGGTTCGACATCCACGCAGCCGTAGGCAAATCATACAAACATCTACATTGCTGTCATACTGAATGATACGTGAACGACGACGCCCACAAAAGGACCATTACGTGATGCCCGCCTTTCAAAGCTGGCAGCGCGCGCAAGTGCGCACCATTGCCCGGTCGCCGATATATCAGCCATTGGCTTGTGCGCTCGGTGGTAGCATTGAGAGGCGGGTGCAACTTAATGCTCAGATGCGCTTCCAGGTTGATCGCTCACTGGGCCACGAGCATGGGCGGTCCAAGTGGATGCCTTGCAGCTTCGTCCCCCGACGAGGTGCTTGCCATGCACCGCGCGGGCGTCACTTCATGCGACGGGCCCCGCCCGCAGTGTTTCGGCAACGTTTCGGTTTCCACCCCAGTTCTGTTATTATTATCTATTATTGCGATGCTTCTTGTTGGTTCACGCGCAGGGCATCAGCGCGATGTTCTTTCGCGGCTTAGCGCGCCATCGCCGACGGCTCGAGCGCAATCGAATCAATCGCCCCGCCCGTGGCGGCGCGGGCAGCGCCACACGGCGGGCAGAACGAGGCGGCACGATGGCGCTGCAGGCGAGCAAGGCGAACCACCCAGAGGGCCAGTCTTCACGTGCCCTGGACGTGCGCGCCGCGAAGCGAGAATCATCACTTTCGGCGCAACTTGCTATGGGGGATGTGGAGCATTTCCAACAAGCGACAGAATGTCTCTCGCGCGCGGTCCCGCTTCCGACGAAGGAACAAACGGGTCGGCGCGGGATGTGCGCCCTGTCCAACTCCTGCTACGCATGCTGCAGCGTCGACGCCAAACTGTTCCTTTGGAAAATAAGCACCTCACGTCGCCTTCGGTAAGTCGTCTTGCTTGATGAGCCGGATGGAGCAATCTGGATGCGGCCCCTGTCTGCGGGCGGGCCAGGTGGCCGAGTAGGAATGCGATTGACAAGGAGGAATGATAAGGACAAGGAGCTGGAAGAGGTGCAGGCGTCACACAGTCAGGTCGAGCGAGCCAGCGGGACCCGCCCGCTCCCGCCCCCCCTCCCATGCGCGCGCTCCCGTCTAGCGAACGGAAGGCGCTCAAGGCAAGCGCCGCGTGCAGGCGGGAGCGTAGATTTCAAGATAACTTTGAGTGGCACTGAAGCGGCAGCAACGATTTGTTTGCTCGACCACGGCCCTCTTGTCGAACTGCACACATGCACATGGCTGCGTGTGTGTAGTTGGCTGCGCGCACTCATGATGTAAGAGCGTGTGCACGTGTACGCATACGACGTGCCTGCATGAGCATCCATGTGTGCACCTGCATAAGTGTCCGTGCGTGCACATTTGAGTGGGAGTCAATCGCTTCGTCACCGTTTGCTAGCAAGCTCTTATCGAGCCGCCCGGCCTTTGACATTGAAAGAGCATGCCTAGTATTTGAATGTCGGCACGAGTCTCTTTATGCGTGTCTCTGGCAGCATGCTGTCCGAATCGCGAGGTCCTGGAAGACATCTGCAGCGGCGGTAGGATCAGGAAGTAGAATTGGAACAAGAAGACAACAAGAAACGCGAGGGGGAGGACCAAGTGCAAAGTAAAAGGAACGGGGTGGAGGAAGGAGGGCAGAGCAGGGAGGCGTGGTGCCGTGACGGGAGAGAGCAGGGCGAGGAAGGGACGGGAGCCAGTACGGCAGCAAGGGGGGGCACCGTCGGATAGGAACACGTGGCGGCGGGGAGGGGGCGGAGCGAGTTGCAGCGGAGCGAGTCGGGCGAAACCGTGGGCTCCTCCAGAGAGCACGTACACCTACCCCTTCCCCACCGAGGGGCAGCGACGACCTCCCAGAGACAGGCGCGGTGTGCAAATCCCCTCCTGCCATGTGGGCCGCAAACAAGATACTGCCACGAACGCTTCGTGAGGAACGCAGGGCGGCACAGAAGCGGCCATGGCAGGAGTCGAGAAACAGCGAGAGCTGTTCCTTATCTCAGCGTCGTTGCTGTAATGTGCACACGCCGTGCCTGTACTTGGGGAGGCGGCCCTGGGGATGAGGGGCCGGTGTGCAGATCGATCTGGTGGGCGGCTCAAGGATGGGGCCCTGAGGGACGGGGCCCCAAGGACGGGAGGCCTCAAGCAGTGCAGACTCAGCCTGGGACCCCTTGCCCGTCCCGAGGCAAGCGCGCTCCACGACTCGCAGAGTAATTAAGCACTCGCAAGTGGCCTGGATCCGCCGCGGGGGATCTGGCGATCGTTTTCGCACTCATTGTTTTGCCGATCGGCGCGGGCCCTCGCACCCCCCCTCCCCCCCATGGAGTAGGTCTTGGCTGTTTTTGGCGCCTGTTTCGAGCAGGTGGAGTCTACCCCATAGGACGCACTGTTGCAAACAGGCGCATCAAGCAGAGGTCCGGAGCCAGACCCCCCAGACCCCCCCCCCTCCCCCTCTCCCTTTCGCCCAATGCCGAACAACCGAATAAGAAAACGTTCCCCTACGTCCCGTGACACTGGGGCACGCCCAGGGCCTTTCGGGCGCCTGCGAGTAGGCACTCTGCGAGCCGTGGAACGCGCTCGTTGATCCGTCCCGAGGGCTCCACCCCTCAGGGGGCCGCACCTTCGAACTGCCGACATCCGGGAGGAGGAGGAGAAGGAAGAGGAGGAGAGGAGGAGGAGGAGGAGGAGGAGGAGGAGGAGGAGGAGGAGGAGGAGGAGGAGGAGGAGGAGGAGGAGGAGGAGGAGGAGGGGACTCGGGGGGGGGGTCCTCGCCCATCCAGCGCGGGTTCGGCCTCGGAGCGGGGCCGACTGCGCCGCCGGCCGCCCCACCCCTCCCACGACCCCACATGCCATCCTGCAAACCTGCAATCTCGCGGCGACGTGAGCGGGCTACGGAGCGTTGGCTTGCAGGTCGGACCCACGCCAGAAGAACACACCTCGAGAACATGAGACCCTGTCGGCCAAGACAAACAGAACATTCAAGGGTGTCCTCCCGAAGGTGCACAAGAGCATCCAACAAACACGAAAAACACTAGGGTACCCTCCCCGAGCCGACCGCGATCGTATACTTCGGTCCGACTGCATCGAAGAATGACGGCAGCCAGCTGCTGCAAGCCTGACCTGTCCCTCGGCCCCGATCAGCTCGGCACAGAGAGTCGATCGCATCGGTGAAGGGAAGGAAGTCGCGACCGACCCCCCTCGCCGGGACGGGCGCGATCGACCCCTCTGCAATTTGGGACCGCGGACGCGGTTGCCGACCCCCTGGTCGCGACTCCCCCAATGCCAGAGCCCCCCAAACCTGACCCTGGTGCGAGACCCCACCTCCACTGTTCCATTATCCCCTCTCCTCTGGCAGCGGCGGCGGTGACAGCAACACCAGGGCGACGACGGACGAGGATGTACCAACAGCGCGCAGTTGTCTGCAGAATTCTGCGAAACGCTTCCTTCTCTCCCCCCAGCGGTAGGAAAGCATCGGAATCCGAACTGGAATCAAATTGTATCAGGAGCATCGGATCGTACCATGAATAGGCATGTGCGGATCGGATCGAAACACCGACATCGGCAACACGACAGGGACTCGGACCGTAATCGGGATCGGGAGGGGACCGTCGAAATCAGATCGCATCGGATCGGAACAAAGGCATTGCTGGGCACCACCTCAGATGTGGAATCAAGGACATGCGCAGAAATCCAAACAACCCCCTGTACCAAAACGATACTCACATTTGAAGCGTGCTTCTCCCACCAAAAGATGCTGATCGAAGCCGACGGCAAAAGTACTCCACAGTCCTCCACCTACTCCTGCTCCTCCTCCGCCGCTGGGGGGGCTGCTGATTTGGCATCGCGGTGCTCCCGCCGCAGTTGCTGCAGAAGAGGAAGTGCGCCTGCACCTTCTCTGGGCAATGTCCAGAGACGTTGAAGTGGGAGCAGGAGGGGGATTGGGAGGAGTAGGAGAATGAGGATGGGGGAGAGGCAAACGTGCAGCAGCAGACTGTAGTCGGCGTGACTATGATTGCTGGGTCCAGGGGGGCAATCTGACGAGTTTACATTCGAGAGGAGTTGTGGGGAAATGGCCTTGGGCGTCGTCGTCGATGGCGCATTTGAGGGGGGCATCAGCACAACATGAAGTGAAAGCACACTGCCATCATAATCGTCATCACCGTCGAGCTTACCATCACTTCAGTCATAGTGAGGGGCTGCCGAACGGCCTCACCTTGTCCATGGGCGCGTGTGGACAGGGAGGCCGCGGTCGCGTCGGAACCAGACGAGGAGGCCATCGAGGGAACCGCACGAGGGCATCGTACCTTGCCGTCGCTCGGACGTCCATTTCCCGTGCGTTTTTCGGTTTCGTGCGTGTTGTTTTGCTCGATGGTCCAGGATGGTCCTCGATGGTTCTCGCAGAGAAAAGATGTACACGTCCGAGCGATGCCAAGGTACGGGGGACCATACGGGGTGACCGTACGAGGGCACTGCATAGGGGGGCACCACGCAGGGGGCACCCGCAGGGCAAAGCGCGCAGGCCGAGGCAGGACCACGGCTTTGCCGCACGCGCGCAGGCGCGCGGCAGCTCGCGCTCCCACGTGCTCGGCCTCCGACCAGGAATCGGGCCAGGCGAAAGGGGGGGATAGCAAAGGGAGGGTGTGAGAATCTAAAGGGGCCCCAGGACACACAACTAAATACACGCAAATAAAATGATTCCCCATATTTTCCCGTATTTGTTTGGCTTTCGTCTTCCCCCCCACTTCCCATATTTTCCCATCTTGTCTTGGGACTCGACGATTATTTGTGTCTGTGTGTCTTTTTCCCTCCTGAGAATCAGCTCGCAGCTGATTTTCCCGGCGCCTCCCGGCGCCAGATGGAGCTACGTATCGAGGAATGGGCCCCTCGGCGAGGCCGATACCAGCTGCATGCAACAGATTTCGTACCCCCCCCTTTCCCAATCCCCCCCTTTCGTCCGGCCCGACAGAAGCCGCCCAGATAGGGCAGAAACGCGTGGGGGGTGGGTCGGATGCACGCAAGAGTGACCCCTGGCAGGCATGACCTTCGGTGCGCGGCATTGAAAAGGCGCCTGTGGGGGCCCAACGCAACCGCGCAAGCCGCTGCTGTCGGACCGCATCAACGATCAGGGAGACGCGCCTCGAAAGGGTCGCCCTTCCGTGCAGCCGATTGAAGGCCGATGCATCGGCGATGCACTGGCGACGGCGGGATGCAGACGACCGGGCTGAAGGACGGCCAAAGGCCACCGACGGCCAACGACCCTCTCATTAACGGCCGGGGGGTGCCCGAAGACTGTCTCGGGGTGGCCCAGCGAGCCTCCAGGGGCTCCAATCTATTACCAAAAAGGCACGGGGGGGGCCAAAGAACCCCCGAGAGGCTGCTCAGGAAACCTCCCGCGAAACCGTAGAAGGCGGAAAGCAGCGAGCAACGTGTGGGAAATCGGTGCCTGTTGCTCCCAAGGCTTTCCAGCTTCAATTTGGAGGTCATGAAGGAAACCCCGAGAAGCGCCCGAGACGTCTCAATACGGCTCCGAAGTGACCTCAAGGCGGGATCAAAACCACCCAAGAATCCCGTCATGACGGCCCACGAAGGCTCTAAGATGGCCCGCTCAGACGTCCCGAAAATTGTTCAAACAAGCTTCTTCGGAAGAGCTCGGTAAACAGTCGAGCAGGAAGAGGAGAAGGAGGAGGAGGAGGAATAGGAGGAGGGAGGCGGAGGAAAAAGAGGTCGAATGGGGTAACGGAAGAGGAAAATGCGGATGAGGATGAGGAGGGGGAGGAGGAGGAGAAGGAGGAGGAGGAAGAGGAGGAGGAGGAGGAGAAGGAGGAGGGACAGGGGAGGAGGAGACACTTTAATGACGGGGGTTGGAAGCTGTACGAGAGAACCCAAGGCGGCAATAATATGTTGACTGTAGCGTTTAAGTTTCCGTACGATGTGCAGGTCTGCGCGGGCACTTTGGCCACATGGCGGTGGCCCCTCCTATTTGAGTCGGGGTTGCCCGGGCGATCAGACAGCTCTGGCGGAGAAGAGGGAGAAAATAATAACGGAACGATAACTGTCCAGACCCCAACACATTCGAGACTTAGCAATGGGACCCCGTCGCTGTCTGACTTAGGGGCGCGCGAAGCGGCGGGGCGCAGGCTCGCCCTCCGTAGCGGGTGCAATCGAAACGCGTAGTGAGGACGGGCGGCAAGGACGCAAGCCCCTTGGAGGACGTTGGGATTTTGTGGGCGGCGGGCGACCAACGCCCCAGGGGCGCAAGGGATGCCGAGACAAGGACAGCAGGGTACCCCAAGGGAAAGCGCGCGTCCTTACTACGCGCGTTGACTGAAGCTCGCTCGTGTTCTGAGGAGCGGCACTGGAAGAGCTCGCGCGTGTGAGTGATGGCGGTGGGAGCTCTCCCATGCCGCATCTGCGCATGATGTTAATGACCTCGGGTCGCAGACGTGATGTCTGAAAACCTGCCCTAAGGAAAACTCATGCAAAGTGATGGCCCTGGGGCCACGTGAAGGGCGAGGCGGAAGTGCGTGGACGCCTTGACCTGGTAGGTGGGAGAGGGTGATGGATGGAGATAGACCTTGAGGGCTGCGCGCACTTTTTGGCGCGATCGTCTCGAAGCTCACCGCAGTCACGAGTGGCGGGAGTCGCTCCGTCCACGACCGAAGGCGTCCTCCTCGCTGGGCGTGCCGGGGGCCTCCGCCTCCTCAGCGTCAGCGCTGCCCGCGGGCGGGGGCTGGCTTGCCTCGCCGGCGCCAGCGGTGCGGCGAGCCGCGCTGGCGCGCCAGCGCTTGGCGTTCTCGAGTGCCCTGCGGATATTATTGTTGTTATTATTCTTCTTCTTCTCGGGAGGGTCGGCGTCGGCCTCTGGCTTGGGCTCGCTCTTGTTGCTCTTGCCCCTGCTAGATGCCGCGGCGGCATGCCTGCGGGAACCCGTGGGCGCCGCGGCTCCTGTCCTCGCACAGAGTGGGCGCGGTGCCGGGGGGCGAGGTGGCGTCGGCCTCCAGCCCGAGCTGTGAGCAGCGCTGTCCTCGTCGCACTCAGCCTCGCGAGAGGGAGATGGGCGCTGAACCTCTGGAGAAAGGTGGCGACGTGGAGGATTGCGCGGCGCGCGCTCGTCCTGCGGCGACGGGGGGCGCGACGGCCGCGGCGTCAGCGGCGCTGGCCTTTTGTAGCCGAGCGGCCTGCTCTGGGAAGAGGGCGCGCCGAGAGCCGGCTCGTCGCGGGTCGAGAAGGGTTCTCGGTCAAACCCGGGCCGCGCGCTGACGTTGTTGAGCGACCGATAGCGGCGGCGCTCGGCCCTCTCCTGGGCGGTCCACGAGGCCCGCGGGTTTCGCTGCTAGGCCGCGCGCGGCTATGCGTCGCCCAGCCAGCCGGTGGCCCCGCGAGCCTCGAACGTGACCCTGGCGCGCAAGTCTGGCTCCATGACGTTGGTGAAGTTGAGACTCCAGCGAAGCGGCACCTCGGGGGCTGGGTCGCCGATGCGCCGCTGCCGCGTGGACCCCGCCACTTCGGCGTCGCTCTTGCTGAGCGGAAAGAGCGGTTACCTTCCGCGAGCACCGAGGCTGGCGCGTCGGGGGGGCGGTGGAGCGCTCGGAGGACTCGGCGCGGATGCGGGTGCCTCGCTGGCGGGCGTCGGCCGAGCGCGAGGCGCGGCAGCCACGCGGCGTCTTCGCGGGGGCGGCGGGCGCGAGCGTGTCTGAGGGAGCTCTTGAGCCCGAGCGTGATCTCGAAGGGCAGACGAGGATGATGCGAGGCGCCTTGCCTCGCTGAGCTGCTGCGGCGGACGCTGTAACTGACGTGCTTGGTCCTTGCTCGGCGGAGGCGTCATCGGAGGCGCGCCTGGGGGGCGGGCCGTGACTGGCTGCGCCTTCGGGCCACCGCTCCACCATGTGCCTGGATGGGGGCGACGGAAATCTCGCGCGTGGTGCGGCTCGACCTGCGGGCGTCGCGAGTGCCGCGTCGTCTGATGAAGTCCTCTTCCTCCGCGCGGGACAGAGATGCCGGGGGCGCGGTCCGCGAACGGCGGCGGCGGCCCTGGAGGCCCCGGCGGGTCGCTCCAAGGCGCGCCCGGCAGGCGCGCGCGCGGCGGCGGGTGGCCGCTCGACGCGCGTCGACGCGCGTCGGGGGCCCGCGCGCGGGCCCGGCGGCGCGCGAGCCGCGACCAGCGGCCATGCGCGGTCCGGCCGGGCTGCGCGCAGGCCTGCTGCTGAAAAAGAATGGCAGCGATATCGTTGACGTCCATCCCTGATCCCCCTTGCCATTCTCATGTCTCGAGCGCCCGTGCACGGGCGCGCCCGCGCGCGCCGCAGCGCGAGCCGAACATTGCAGCGGCGTGCCCTTCCCGAACTGCCGCGCTACAACATGCATCTCAACCACCGTGCGCCGCGCGACAAGCCTTCCGAAAGGGGCGAGGAGGAGGAAAGACTGATAGTTTCGAAGAGAATGGTGCACAGAGCAGTCCACAGACGCACGCTGGCAGATGTTAGTTGTCGGAGGTCGGCATGCGCTGGCGCGCGCGACCGCGGGCGAGAGCCGCAGGCCACGTCGCGGAGGGCAGATCCACCCATGCTGCCCTTAGTCAGTCCATCCGCGGTCATATCTCGTGTGTCTCCCCAAAAGAGGAGCTAGGTTCTCGCGGCCGCGACGGCCGCGACCGCCCGCTTTAAATCGAGGCGCGACTCAATTTGCAGTGCGCGGTCAGCGCCAGGTGGGGCTGCAACCCGCGCTCTAGCCCGGCCCCGCGCATCTTTCAGCCTAGTGGTGCGTCGACAAAGGCTCGCTGCCAAAAGTCGGCGTCAGTTGCGACGCAGCTGCCGTGGCCGCCCGCCATATGCGCGCGCGGTTGCCAGTGGTCTCCGCCCCCCTGTGGGCTCCTAGTGTTCTCATCTAGCTGTCCACAATATGTGCTTCTGCACTCCTAGCGCGCCTGGGGCCCAGGGTGGCCCGCTGGGGGGGGGGGGCGGCAGCTGGCGCGGAATTTGCCTTCAAATGCGGGCCCTCTCCCAACGCGGATGAATGCTGGTCATCATGGCCAATGCGGCGGGGTCTAGATTGCTTGCCCCGGTCGCGTTCTACCCGTCCTCGGCCCGAGAGCCTGCTCGATCTCCCAGCTGGGGTGCGTGCTCCTCCTGATCGGGTGCGACACCTACACCGCAATGCTCAGTGGGCGTGCGAGCGGCTGCTGATTCTCTCAGATCTCGCTGGCGGCGCGCAGCAACAGGGCCCCGAAGTCCCCGGGGCACTTCGCGGGGCGCGCTGGCAAGGGCGAAGCCGTGATCTGTCGGGCCGATCGCAGCCATCAGCCCGCATGCACAATCCTTCGCGCAACTGTGATGAGCGCGCCGCGCTGCCGGTCGAGCGCGCGACACGGTCGCTTGCCGACGAACGCTCGTCGAGCATCCGTGTCGCCTGCGCCCGCGCGCGGGAAGGTGGCTCCTCGCGAGGCCCGCCCCGCGTCTGCGCTTTCCTTCTGCTCTTTGCTGAATGCTGCGTCGCTGTGTGCTTCGAGCTTGCGCGCGTAGCGCGCAGGTGGATTGTGGGCCCGTCAAGGCCCGGCCTGCGCGCATCTTGCAAGCGCGTTGAGCTTTCGCATGTGGCCGCGCGTTGGCGCCTCTGCGCGGCGCTGAAGAGCGCCCGCGTAGACGCGCGGATCGATTCGCGTGACGAGCGCGACGGCTAGTGCCAGAAGCGAGCCGAGGTACATCTTGGTCTAGCCTTCGAAGGTGAGCTCGGAGTTGAATCTGCCAACTAGCACAATTCGTCCAATAGGATTCATAGGCCTGAATACTCTCGATCTGGCCCAGCTCACATCCGCCGTCGCGCGCGGGAGAGGGGCGCGCCCTGCGGCGCGCGATGGTCTTTTCACCGATATACAGCTCACCTTTACCGAAGGAATTCTCCAGGAACTGACGCGCATTTTTTGTGCAGTGGTCCCGCTACCTTGATGTCGTCGACGAGCTTGGTTGTCAGTGGGGCGAACTCGCCATCCTTGCGCTCGGCGATGAACTCGTTGTCGCATAGTGTAGGGATTGCTCGGTGCATGAGTAAGATTGACCGGCATCTCGGGGCGCCCTTGCACCCAGTGCCTGGCTCTCCACGCGGAGAACGTCAAGCGCTGGGTCGAAATCTCCGCGCCCCTTTTACGGCGCGCAGGACTGCGACGCCGTCGAAGGAAAGTTCAACATTTACATTGCGCTCCTCCTCCTCACTCGTTGTCTCCGCAAGCATCGGGTAGCGGGTGCCTTCCAGGAAGGCCTTCTCGACGTCCTGCGCATCGATCGTCCGTTCTCGGCAGGCAGCCTCGAACACGATCGCGCGCTGGGCCGTGATGAGGTGCCTGCGTAAATGGCGATGAGATCGGCGTTGGCGTCCTTGAAACCTCGGAAAGTCAACCTCATGCGGATAGTCCGGAATTTCTGAGATGGGCCTGCTTTGCTCCGTGCGAATTCCAATTTGCCTGCCCACCTGCAGTCAAGGATGTCGCGTGCTCCACGGCGCGGGCGCCGTGAGAAGCAATTGAGATCGACCCATACTTACAGATCCTCGAGCACAGCGGTAGCGACGGCTGCGGTGTGCTCTCGAAGCTCCTCGGGGGTGGGTAAATCAACGTCGCGTGCGGCCGCTGCCTTCTTGGTTCCGGCCACGTAAACCCGAAGGCGTGCCCAGTGCCCCTCAGGAACAGGATGGTCTACCATAAATGTGTGGCCTCTCCGCCCGCACGGGCGCATTCCCCCGCTGGTGACTTGGAAAAGGCGGGGGGGGAATTGGGCCTGGTGACCGCGTGCGGATGCCTGGCGAATGCTCCTCGCTATAGCACTAGATCGGTACGGCGCCTGCCCCCTATTCCTCCTCCCGGGTCGTTGATGCTTGCTGATGGGCCGTGTGGGGGATGCGAGATTCCGCATCAACAAGAGCATTTGAAACACACTGTCAGCCTATCAGCCGTTTTGCCATCACATTTGCGCTCTGTACCTTACACCTCTTATCTTGAATAACGCAATCTCGCTCTCTGTTATGCGTCCTGCTATGTTTCCACCGCCTTTTTGCACCTCCAGCGCGCTCCCGCTATCTTACGGCGTACCTGCACCTACTATTTGGAGTCAGAATGAAGTCTTGGGTACGATGATACTGGGAGGGACATGTTCTTTCGGCAGTTATCGGATCCCCCTGCGCGACAGGGAGTGGCCCACCAACTCAGCAATAGCCTGTATACACCATTTTGCTTCTCGCAGCCTCCGTGTCTCTTTGACCGCATCTTGATTTTAGCTACGTTACCCGTATGCCTGTACCAAAGCATGTTGTTTCCCAACCGCGCCTGTAGCCACTGTGCAAGCCCCCCGAGGCTGCCCGTGCTGCTCCCCTAGGTTAGAAGGTCGAGCACCACACACTACGACATCGTATAATTCGACTTCCCGGGTTGCACCCTGGCGCGACCCTAGTGGAGGGCGCGGCCAAGCTCATGCCATGCACCACTCATCGTTTTTCACTCTCCGTTACTTGCAAGTTATACCGCCTCTTATTATGCCTGCGCTTGCTATCCCTGCGCTTGTGGGAGATGACAGGAAGCTTGCCGTGGTGACTGGGGTTGGTGGAGGGGGTACCGCGCTCAGACAGGAGGCCAGCCAGCACTAATTGCGCCAGCCTAATAGTACACAGCCAGCTACCCTAGGGCGTTCATCGCGCCTGTACCAGCCCTCAGAGACGCCATTGATTAGGACGGCCACTACGTCTGTGTCAGCCTTTTTCTTTGCAGTGCATCACCCACTTCTGTGATACGAATGTCTTATGTTCACGGCCTTTTTGACACGTCGTTCACAGACACTATTCCTCTTGACCTCTAGCATGCGCCGCCTACTCTATGTTTGTTCACGCTATCTTTGCTGCCATCCTTGAAATGAGGGCGGGGGCGGGTAGGGGACTAGGAGGTCTCCATGTGGGAATGGGCGAGCCTCACTCTGCACTGGCTGCCCGGCACCACTAGAGAACAAAGTGTAAGCTAATCTGTTGCACGCGTATATAACTCACTCTCGGCCTGGCGGGCGCATACTCTATGGCCTTTAGGGCCCTTGTTTACCTTTTCCGATGCTATTTGCATTGTCGTTTCTGCTGCGCCCGCCAGGCTTAATTAGTCTGCTGTCGGCCGAAATCGGTTTCCGTTACATTTTCCCCACCCAGAACGCAACGATCCTATATTCATGTCCGTGCAACGTCAACCAACAAATGATGATGATGATGATGATGATGATGATGATGATGATGATGATGATGGTGACGATGATGATGATGATGATGGTGGTGGTGGTGGTGGTGGTGGTGAAGATGATGATGATGCTGATGATGATGCTGATGATGATGCTGATGCTGATGCTGATGATGATGATGATGGTGATGATGATGATGATGATGATGATGATGATGATGATGATGATGATGATGATGATGATGATGATGATGATGCTGATGACGACGAGGAGGAGGAGGCGGAGGGGAGTGATTGGGGGCACGAGGGGAGGGGCAGAGAGGGTGTCGGCCAAAAGGGGGCCAGCGGCGGCCTTAGCTCCTAGCTCGGTCTTGGCTCACACCACCTCACTGCGTGAGCAAGTCGAGGGGGGCCTCCCTCGCCGTCGAGGAGCAGCCGAAGCGACAGATCACGTCGAACTCACGGTAGAACTTGCCGGCAAGGTAGGCCATGTTGCCCTCGTCGATCCTGGATCCTCCTATTCCCTCTTCCTCCTCCCTCCCCTTCCTGCTTCTTCCTCTTCACTCCTCCCCAAGTCGACCTCCAGACTTTGTCCGTACACTGCGAGAATGATTGCGAGAGGAATCTATCCGTGGCGACAAGGCATACCCCATCAACCTAAAAAACAAGCCATGGGCCAAACACATGGAACTTCGGTAGAATATCATCCCTCTCCTCCTCCTCCTCCTCCTCCTCCTCCTCCTCCTCCTCGTCCTCCGTACTCTTCCTGCTCCACGACCCTCCTCCACCACACTCCTTCGTGTCCTGATCATGATCCAATCGGCCCAGATAGCCCAAAGCCCTTGAGCGCTCTCCTGGCCGTCCCCTCCGGAGACCTCTGGGGAACCCCCCCGGGACCCCGTGGGAGACCCAAGGAAATCCCCTAACCTCTGGGGGCCTCCGGGGACCTCGTGACCGACCGCCCGATCGACTGCTGCGCAGTCCTCTTCACTTCCCACACCTCGCGGCCAACGACTACGTGGAATTCGTCCCTGTGCCCTGGCGAGTCGAGGATCGTGCCCTGCTCGGACGTGACTATGCCGCTGAGCGTCGTGTGCACAAAGGGGAGCCTGGTGCCCCATGTGGCGGGCGGCGACGCAATGGCATTGACGTTATCGGCGAGCGAGAGCCCATCGTTCCAGTGGTCAGCATCGTTGAGGGTCTCCAAGAACTCCCTCGCCTCGCCCCAGGTGATGGACACGGCCGGGTATGCGTACCGCAGCAGCGTAGCCATGCTGACGTCACTCTCGCTGCCGATCGCAATCAGCTCGTCCATCGTCTTGTCCTTCAAGATGGAGTCCGAGCTGCTGTCGCAGACCTTCCAAGACAAGTTGCTCGTGCTCTGGAGATTGTTCCACCCGCCCATCGCGAAGCCGAGCGTGTTGGTTGCGAAGGTGCCACCGTTCAGGCTGAGGCACTCGTTGGACACGTAGCACCACGACTGGCCCGCGCTGGCATCGCTCGTCTCGCTCGGGAAGGAGAACATGTCGACGTTGACGCAGGAGTTGTTCTTCAGGTTCTTGAAGAAGTTGTTGCAGACCTGGTGCGGCAGGCCCGCGATGGGCTCCGTGGGGGCATAAGCCTCGGAGGCGCCGTACTTGGTGAGGAAGTACAGCTCCCTGGCGCGGCCGCAGGAGGCGAGGTTGTCGTAATAGACCGCCGCGAACTCCAGGCAGTCGCAGGCGGCCCTCCCGGCGCTGGCCACGGACCGCCCCGCATCCTGAGCCTGGTTGCCCGCGAGGGCCCGCGCGACCGAGAGGCAGGCCAGGACGGAAGCGACCTCGGCCTCCTCCTCCTCTTTCCGTCCTCTCCCCTTCCTTCTCCTCCTCCTCCTCCTCCTCCTCCTCCTCCTCCTCCTCCTCCTCCTGTACCTCTTCATCCTCCACTTCTCCTCTTCCACCTCCTCCTCCGCCTCTTCCTCCTCCCTCCTCTCCTCTTCCTTCACCTCCTCCTCATCCTCATCCTCATCATCCTACCTCCCCCTCCTCCTCCTCCCTCCCTCCTCCCACCTTGGACACCATGGTCATCGAAAGTGCGTGTGAGGTATCCCCGCGTCGTGAACCACGGCCTGGCCCAATGTATGTATCGAGTGTTGAGCTTCAGTGGCATCGGGGGAGGAGGGAGGTGGAGGGAAGGAGGGCGGGAGAGTGATGATGGAGGGGGAGGAGGGCGACGAGGGGGAGGGAGGAAACAAGAGGAGGAATGAGCAGGGAGAAGAGGAAATATATGGAGAAGGAGAAGCAGGATGAGGAGGGAGCAGGAGGAGGAGGAGGAGGAGGAGGAGGAGGAGGGCGACGACGAGGCCCACTCTTTTCAGTGCGCCAGGGGATCTCACGGCTGACCGTCCTACCCAGGCCTCGGCCTCCGGATCCACACTCAGATCCCTGGGACTCCGCGGGCGGGCCTGGAACGCCCTTCCCCATTCTCCCTTCCTCCTCGTCCTTATCATCATCATCAGCATCAGCATCATCATCATCATCAGCATCATCATCATCAGCATCATCATCATCATCAACATCAGCATCATCATCATAATCAGCAGAATCATCGTCATCATAATCATCATCAGCAGCATCATCATTATCAGCATCACCATCAACAACAACATCATCGCCAGCAGCATCATGATCATCAGCATCATCATCATGAACATCAGCATAATCATGATCAGCATCATCAGCATCAGCATCTTCACCATCATCATCACCACCATCACCATTATCATCATCATCATCATCAGCAGCAGCAGCAGCATCGGCATCGGCATCGGCATCAGCATCAACATCATCATCAGCAGCATCATGATCATCATCATGATCATCATGATCATGATGATGATGATGATGATGATCATCATCATCATCATCATCATCATCATCATCATCATCATCATCATCATCATCATCATCATCATCATCATCATCATCATCATCATCATCATCATCATCATCATCATCATCATCATCATCGCCATCATCACAACTGCCAGCGCGCGACAGGCAGCACGGTAGGACTATACCTAAAGCGATGCCGATGCAACGTGAGATCGCGAGTGACAAAAGCGTCAGGAGCGCGCGATTGAAACAAGTTCGGTCTCGGGCGAGGTGAGGCGGAGTGCTGGTCTAAGAGGGGCGCATGGGGAGGAGGTCGGCTGGCGAGAAGCAAACGGCCCCACAACGGCGGAGGGCTTGGACAAAAACGGCTACAGGCGGGAGAGAAGAAGGAAAGGGGGAACGGGGAAGCACCGATAGGAGCTCCTGCTGCCGCTGCCACCGCTCCCTCGCCGCTGTTCCCTCGTCGCTGCCGCACCGAGAAGGAGCCTTGAAACAAGCCTTAAAATTAGCCGCAATGTCGCCCCCTTATCGCCCCGTCCCAGGCGTCCCCGTCAATATCGAAGCAAGGCGAAGCGCGGTCGGAGCCAGCGCGACTCGGAAGTTCCACGGTGGCCACATTCGAGAGGGAGCGCCAACAAGTACTTCGCACGCACTGCCATCCACACGCAGAGTATCAAATGTATTAATTGTTTATGTCTCACCTCGCACGCATTATGCCTCAGTCTCTCCATTCATGTATCCGAGCGGGATAGCGGATATCATATTATGTTACAGGCTGCCGTTCGCGCCGACGCCACCCACCCACGGGAGCTGAGCCGACATGACTTGATACGCAGCAGTGCCACCAGGGCCGCTCCTATTCTAAACGCACAGCATCTACGGCCATCAGGAGCGTCGGACTGTTTTATGACACACCAGATGCGCCCGTAGTTGTCAAACAGCTGTTGCTTCTTTAAATGCAGAAACGAATGTTGCCATTTCAAAACGAACAACTGTTTGAACAACTACGGGTCACTGTGGAGTGAGAACAATCAATGCGGAACGCTACCGCGACCACTAGTTGCTCTAAGTTGACAGTCGAGATGTGCGCGGGCCGAGGCAACTAACAAATTCTTGCAGGTCGGCTCGCCCGCGCATCCATTCCGCGCGGCCAACTCTCGACACAATGATCATCAAAGTTGTTGACGTGCTCCTTCGATGTCGCCTCCTATTCGCCCCGTCAACGTCGTGCCCTTCTATGTCGAAGCAAGGCGAAACGCGGTCTGAGCCAGCGCGACTCGGAAGTACCATGATGACCGATATTGGAGAGGGAGCGACGACAAATACTGCGCACGCAATGCCACCCATACGCAATGCATCAACTAATTTTAGTAAGTTGTGCAACCCGCTTTTGAAATTCACTTGGTCGAGGGTAACAGGTTTGCCCCTGATGCCCATGGCATTGACAATACCTCTCGCTGTTCCAGGCGCTGAGAGGGAGAGGAGGGCAGACCGCCGAATCAAGTAAACAAGCCGCTGGGCCATGGGACAGGGCGCAGGTTCACATGCACGGCAATCACAAATCCACCACGCTGCGCGATGCACGTCTGCACGATCGGACTCGCCGCACGGTGTGGACTCCCCCATGATAGAGGGGTCACGCGCCATCGCCCAACACACGTGAGCAAAGACAACGCCACACCCGGGGCCCATTGAGGAGGAGGAGGAGGAGGAGGAGGAGGACGAGGAGGAGGAGGAGGAGGAGGGGGCATCATTCGTCACCTTGGGTCGCTTTGTGGTCCTGTTGGGCCGTCTGCAACATACTGCGGACCTCTCGGGCCGTCTGGAGGCGTCTCGGGCCGCGCGGCCTCCGAGGGCCAGGAGACAAGAAGTGAAGGAGAAGGATGCAAGGACTGGGAGAGCAGGACAGAAGGCGAGGAATGAGGCAGAGGGAAAAAGAAAAGAGAGGAGAAGACAAGCCAGAAGACTGGTGGCATGTATTTGGCCCTGGGGCGCTTTTGGCACTAAGTGAGTTCGCCAGGCAGAGCCTGGTTGTATCGACCCCGATGCCGATCTGACTGTGAGTCGCACGTCGACATCCATCTGTCGATCTCGCTATTGATCCCGTGGCTGAGAGGTCGATGTCCCCATCGAATTCGACCACTCGATTTCAATTTCCCGATCTCATTTCACCCATGTCGTTATCAATTTCGTTTCATCGATCTCGCATTATCGACCCCGTGCCGAGTCGTGGTGAACCGTGTGGTGTCTATATGTTTCTCTTGGATTTCACCACCCAAATCTGACTATCGATCTCACTGGCTATCCTGGAAGCGATACGATCGGGGCACCATCGGGGCACCGCCATACCATCGGGACACCATCGGGGCACAATCAGGACACCACAGGGGCACCATCGGGATACCAATCGGAACGCCAACCAGTACAACACCAGTGCACCACCAGGACAACATCGGAACACCAATCGGGGCACCTATCGGGACACCACCGGGACAGCAACGAGACCCCATCGAAACACCACCGGGGCACTATCAGGACACCAATCGGGGCACCAATCGGACAAAGACCGGACACCGACAGGACACCGACGGCGGGACACAGACCGGACACCACTGGGACAGCATCGAGACACCAATCGAAACACCACCAGGGCACCATCCCAATCGAGACACCAATCGGGACACCGACGGGACATCAATCGGGACACCAATCGGGACACCAATCGGGACACCGCGGGGCACCGACGGCGGGACACCAGCGAGACACTGACGGAACACCAACGGGACACCGACGGGACACCGACGGGACACCGATGGGACCCCGACGGGACACTGACGAGACTCCGACGGGGCACCGACGGGACACCAATCGGGACACCGACGGGACACCGACGGGACACCGATCGGGACACCGATGGGACACCAATCGGACACCGACGGGACACCGACGGAACACCGACGGGACACCGACGGGACACCACGGCGGGACACCACCGACGGGACACCACGGCGGGACACCCTTGGCCACCGTCCGAGGACACCGAGGGGACACCGACGGGACTCCACGGCGGGACACCACGGCGGGACCCCCCCCCCGGCCACGCCGGCCCACTGGAGGGGCGGTCTTCTATCTTGACCCGCCCTAGCCACAGCGGAATCATTCTTCTCGCCCGCCCACTCGCCGATTTCCCAGTGGGGGGCTCTCCGTCCCACTTCGATCTCACCCCCAGCCTCCGAAGAAACCCTAAATGCTAGCACCTCTTGGGGGAAAATGTTTTGACTCATTCGACAGACAAGGCCCGCCGTAGATGTAATGTGACCTGCGGATCCGCGAACAAGAGCGTCCAAGCGTCGATCTCGCCGTCTGGCCCAAGCCCCCTCGGAGCAACCACCCGTCGTTTGAGCAGGGACCGACCGTCCCAGCATCCTATAGGCCTACCACGACATGTTCTCAGAACCCAAAAATGTTCCAAGAGCAAGAACAATTTGCTTGCAAGAAAAAACGATGTGATAAAACAAGACAGTCCCAGTCAGCAGCGTTCTAAGAACATTTCGTGGAAGCCACAAAAAGGTTCTTCGAACATTGTTTGGTAGGCCTATAGGCACGCCAGGACGCTTCGGCACTGCTTGAGTCGTGGGCGGGAAGCGTGTCCACATCCGCGGCCTCGCGGTCAAGACTCCTGGGCCCGCATCCCCAGGGGCACACCGCGGCCTCGCGCGCAGGCCCCGAGCGCCACGTGTCCATGGGCTCGCGCCTCGGAACCCAGACCGCAATGCGGCATGGGCGCGGATACGGAGATGGCGGGGGCACGGATCCGCCGGCGCACCCGCCGCCGTGGAGCGCCCCAGATGTCCGGCGCCTGCTGTCGATGAAGCGCGGCGGGGCCGCGCCTGCGACCTTGGGCCGCTGGCGCCTCGTCGGGGGCGCTGGTTCGGAGCAGCCGTGCATTCGCGGTGCGCGAGGCCGCCCTCTCGAGCCAACAAGTTCTGGTTGCAGCCAAGGTCGCTCCAGAACAGAATCGCACCAGCCCTTTGGGCTGAAGGTGACCCAGGGTCGTGTCCCAGGCTCCTGCCTTTGAGCCTTCGCGGGAAGGGCTGACCTCTTCATCCACCCTCTCACCGTGGCCCCAGCTTCGGCGGAAATCTGGATTCTCAGTTGTTTGTTTCATCGCTTTGACCGAAGACGCCTATGCG